TTTTTTCCTGGGTAGTTGGTTGGATGAATGAATAAACCATCAAATGAACCAACAAACAAATTAAGAACTACCAAAAAAAAATTGTAGTGGCTACCCAACCCAGGCTGTCAACTAAATATCAGTATTTTAAAATTTGACCATTACATATTGTATACATGTATTGAAACATCACACTGTACCTCTAAATATATACAATTATTTTGTGTCAATTAAAAATAAAATAAGACTTTAAAATCTGAGGTATTTTTTAAAAAAATCCATTCAATCAAAAGTGCTAACTCAGATTAATACCATGTATTACAATGACGATAACATATTCAACCTTAGCTAATCAAACTAACCTTTTGGGGTTCAATTTTTGTATAACCCTCACCTCCGTGTATCTCTTTCACACAAAATACAAATCCTTTTCCAACTCAAATACCCAGTGATGACTCATTCTCTTGAGATTTAGTTTGGATGTGATGGGTAGAAAAGGAATGACGAGAACACATATTAGCCTTCTAAGATTAATGACTACATTTTTCTATTGGTAACTTGGAGTCCTAAACTAAAATGTTTCCTCTCCAATCCCCAATATCAGAAACTGTACCTAACATAATTGCTTCCAAGGGGGAAATACTGCTTATATTTTCTGACTGGCTGTCACAATACTCTGAGTTAATCCCCCCCGAAATGCCCAGCTCAATATAATTGTAAGAATTCAGGGCAGAATCTTTCTGTGGCAGTTTGAGCAGTAAACTTATTTGTCTGTGTGTGAGGGACTGCTAGTTCCCAAAGCACAGAAGATTTTATTAAGAAGATGACAACAATTTCTGATTTTCAGATATCTGGTTTTGCAAGTCCAAATGGTCTGGATTTCTACAGTGTTCCTACATCATGTTCAGAAAATGGACTAACACAATTCTCCATTTGATTGCTCTTGAGAACAGGGTATTTTCATAGAGCTATTTATTTATTCAGTTCTTTCATCTCCTACATTTACCTGTTCAGTAATGACTTATCCCTCTCTCCCTTACACATTCTGCCCTATGCGTACCATCCCCCTTGCTGTTTCTAACAGTCTCCAGGCATGCTCAAAAGCATTTGTACCTATTGCTGCTCTGCCTGGAACATCCTACCCCAGATATTCCCCTAGCTGGCTCCATTGGAAACTTCAGATGTTATCCAAAGACCTATTTAAAATTAT